AATCTGGGAAACTATGCTTTTTGTTACTTTTTGCTATTTAATTTAGTTTAATTCATTTGATTTAGGCACCGCCCAACTCCAAACAACTCTGGATGGCTCACAAAACATGCCTGGGAGATGCAAAAAGCATCTCAGCGGATGTAACTTCAAAGATATGAAAGTTCCGTATGTTAGAATAAACTTTTCTGTTGTTCAGCAATAGTAGAAACTGTAAAATCAAAGTTTCAGGAACCCCAGCTTCATGTTCTTATAAACAAAGAACTAAAAACAGACAATATAAGTATCTATAAGAGAGAGGACTATAGTTACAATTTCTTTTAAATATGGCCTCTAATGAAGTTCAGGAAAATGATTTGCAATAAGTAAAAGTATTCTTTAAGGATCCCTGGAAAATTAAATGTGGCTTTATTTTTCTAAATTATCTTGCATATGTTATAAAAGAAATAAAATGGACATTGCCCAACTTTCCAAACTTTGGAACTAGGATTCCTATTCCAAATAAGAATTAGTGTCAATTATAATTTTCAAGACTGACAGAAAATAAGCAGTACATGTAACATTTCACCTCCAAGGAAAATAAAAGGTAAAATATCACTTTAACAGCATTTAATTAAAATAGCATCACTAAACTTTCCTGTTATTACCACAAGGAAATAGTTAGCCTTGAAAATGTTCTACTTAATGGAATTACTGATAGTTTGTCTGTCTTCCTTCCTCTGCATAAACACTTAGCCAACATATTTAAATTTTAGTTTTTGACTGAAAAATATGCATGTTATAATGAGGTTAAGAAGATTAGGTCTCACTTTGAGAGCTGTAGGTTTACATACTGACATTATGTCTAGACCTGGGATTGTTAGATGCTAAAGAGTAGGCCTTTCCAGAATTTTAAAAAATGACATTTATTCCTAAATTTAACCCAGGGCTGCCAAGTACATGCTATCTTTAGGATATACTGTATAGCGTGCACCTTAAGCTGTATGCAAACACGGTGGAACACCACACATTGTTCTTACACACTCATGATGATATATGGATACCTGCATCACCCATCCACCCAAGCTGGAAGTTTCTTAAAGACCAAACAGGTTTTAATGGGTAATGTTCAAGCCTAGCTCTTGAGAAATAGTTTCATCATTCTTATTCTTAATCTGATATCCCAATTGATAAAAGAAACCAGGCAAAGCAGAGTCAAAACAGTGCTAGGATGGGTTCTAGGAATAAAACTAAAATAATTAAAGTTAAACACCTAATGCCAATTTAAGCCCAACATACCAATATGTAATGACTAGATCAACCTTTCTCAACCTTTTTACCTTGGATGAACCCTGAAATAATTTTCACATCTCAGGTAACCCCTACATAAAAATCATCAAAAAATATGAAAATGTCACAATACAATCCCTACTAATCTACAGAATCCATGCTTTACAACATTTACGACAGCAAAGTGGCAGGCTGACAGATGAGTTGCGCCACATAAAAATTCCCACCAGTATGAGGTTCAGCATTATGCAACAGGGAAGTTCAAAAAACATTTTTTTCCATCACATTCTCTGTTGGAACCCCAAGCAATCACTCATGGAACCCCAGATGAGGAAGACTGGATTAGATTGATGACATTCTTCCACTGCCAAATGGAAATTTATTTATTTATTTATTTATTTATTTATCATGTTTATATAGCCACCCATCTCACACAAGGTGACTCTAGGCGGCATACAACAATTAAAAAAATAAATACATAAAAACAGCTACATATAAAAAACAGCAAAAACACACAAAACAGGAGGGGATAAAATTAATAAGAGAGCCATCATAAAATCTCCCCGATCCCCTGGAAACCCCAGGCCTGATCACATAGCCAGGACTTGAGGGATTTACAGAATGTTAAGAGGGATGGAACTAATCTCACTTCCGGGGGGAGAAGATTCCACAAGACGGGTGCCACAGCAGAAAAGGCCCGCCTCCTGGGACCCGCCAAATGTAATTCTCTAGCAGACAGGATCCACAGCATGTAATTCTCTAGCAGACGGGATCTGATGGGACGGGCAGATATAATCGGGGAGAGCCAGTCCCTCAGATAATACTTTCTCTTCAGAACCTTTTGCAACAACTAGTAAAGATTTAGAATCCAACCTCCAAAAATAAAAAGAGATTTAAGGGAAAAGCAGGAAATAAAATAAAGGGTGGAGTATAGAACTCACACACAAACTTCTCCAATTTTCTGGGTTTGCATAACCATAAGCAAAACAACACAGGCTTGGTTTGTTAAACATGTAAACTAAAATGTGATTAGCTAGTGGTTCAATGTGTTATATAAGCACAGTCAGTAGTACAGTACCCTTGCAATACATCAAAAATTTGTTAACTCCTGTTTGTGAAAAATGGTTTATCTTTTCATTTCTTTTATTTTTTAAGCAGAAATATGCTTAAATAGGGAAAGGTGTACGACAAGGCTGTATACTGTCACCCTGCTTATTTAATCTATATGC